GTGGTTTCGTTAATTCTTCGGATTCGAAAACCCTAAACGTATTCTTAGAAATTGAGGTCGGAGAAGAAAGCTCTTTCTCAGGCTTTCATTTTTGTTGTACCGGCTAAACGTTGACACAAGTGTAAGTTCACATCTCTCTTTCCCTTTATGGAAACCCTAGATTTTGTTCTTAATTATCATGTCCTAATTGATGTCGATTGGATTTAAAGTCTGGGTTTGAGGTCGAATTCTCGGTTATGGTAGTGTTTATGTTAACCAGAGCTTCGATTTGGGATGAAATTGTGGTGCTGAAATTTTGATCACGAGTGGGTTATGCGAGATTTCGTGGAAATGCTCTAATTTTTTTTTTCTAGATTAGCTTAATTTTCAACTGGCATAAAGGGTTTATAGCTGTGAAATGTTGAGTTTAGCTGGTTTTTAGTTTGAGGAACTTGATGACATTTAGTGTAAATGAGCTCTCGAGTTTATTGGATTAGTTGCACATTGAGTTCACAAGTTTACTAGAGATTAGGCTTTGGCTTAGTGGTCCTTAGAGGTCGGTGTACGGTTTTTTCGTTTAAGTGAGCAATGTTGATTCAGGGTCCCTCGTACCCTGAGGCTGTTGCAGCAATTCTCACTTCCTGGTTCGAGGGATCTCCTGCGTAGAGATTTCATGTTTCCTGCCTTGATAAATATTTTGTTATAAATGAATCAAGGTTATCTTGCCTGATGGTTTTCATACGCAATAGTATCCATTGTTTTAGTTTCACTTTGTGTGTGTTTCGTTTGTTTAGCAGGATTTTTTGTGAGCATGTCAATTGGAGGAGGTTAGCTCATGAGTTCTGGAGAAAAAAGGTGTTGAAATGTTCTTTTTTTACAGTCGAACTTTAGATCAAAAGAGACACAGTCTTGAACTCTTTTCTGTTTCTTTTCGAGGTCCAGCTATTTGAAAATAACCTATAGGTGCTGAATCTATGCCTGGAAACGAATTTGGAGAGAGGATCCACAATTTCTTTGGACAGGAGGGCCTACCCCAAGAACAGCATCAATCCCAGGTTGTTGACGGAAGCTGGTCCAGTTTTAGTAATGGTCTGGTCGCCAACCAGAGGCAGATAGACCCATCCCTTATTGCCAATCTGAAGAATTATAGCACACAACAACCTGGTATGGATTTTGTCWCCTTACGACGTGGAATTCAACAACTTATGCTCTTTATATATGTTTCATTCYTAGCTTCTAAGTTATTATYTTGGATGTTGCTTTAGTAGTTAGGTTTTAAACTTAGCTTTCTTGCMTATTCCAGTTGATCCTGAGAGAGGGCACTCTTCAAATCCACAGCATGGTTTAAATTTTACTCAGCAGCCMATAAGGTCCGAATACTCTAGAAATCTATTGCAAGACCWCCAGCAACCCACAAATGGTTACATGCATGGGAACCGTGTGTTGCAGGCATCGCCAAATGAGGCAAATTTTTCGGGAGTGGATGCAGAATCAAGTAGGGATAGATTATCAGCGAGAGGATTTTCCCCGGGCCTTCAGAAAATTCKTYTGAGATTTGAGATGGGAGAATCTCCAGTTAATTATGATTTCTTTGGTGGTCAACAACAATTAAACTCCCAGCTCCCTGGCATGCTCCAACCTTTTCCAAGGCAGCAGATGACATTCAATGATATGCAACTACTGAAGCAGCAAGTTATGGTTAAGCAAATGCATGAATATCAAATGCAACAACAGCTTCAAAAGCAACAACTAGAGGCCAGAAATATCAACTCTTTGAATTCGAATGCAGTAAATGGAAACCCCTCAAGTGATAATCAATCACATCCTTTGATTAATGGCGTCCCTCTTCAGGATGCATCTAGTAATTGTTGGCAGCCTGATCTTATGACAGGAAATACAAACTGGATGCATCGTGGCATCTCGCCAGTTGGTCAAGGTTCATCCAGCGGGCTAATGATTACCCCTGAGCAAGGGCAGGCGACCTTAATGGCACAACAGTTTGAACCTTCCTTGTACGGTATGCCTGTGAGTGGGACAAATGCACCTCAAAATGCCTTTTCTAACGTCCAGATGAACAGGTTAGCGCCGCAGCATGGTTCTGCGAACAGAAGCTCCTCTATCACCAATCAGCCAACTTCATTTCTGAATCAAGGTGATGCACAGGATAGTCATATGCTCCCTAGATCCGCATACCAGGAGAAACTATTGTTCTCCAATACATCAGTTCCAAGTTCAAATAATAGGACCAATTTTGAAAGGTTACAGCAAGATGATTCCCGTGAGAGGAACATTTCAGTGCAGGAGAAATTTGGTCAGATGGAGAATTCTGGTCCGTCWYAAAAKTCATTTKTGAAAGCGCCTGAAAATATAAATGCTTTGCAGAAGTCGACAACATTAGATCCAACAGAAGAAAAGATTTTGTTTGGTTCGGATGACAATCTGTGGGATGCATTTGGAAACAGCACTGATATGAGCTTGACAGGAAATCTTATGTCCAGTAGTTCTGAGCTTTTTGATGCATGCCCCTCTTTGCAAAGTGGGAGTTGGAGTGCTCTTATGCAATCTGCTGTAGCAGAAACATCCAATGATGACGCAGGTGTACGTGAATGGGGTAGTAAACAGCAATCTGGATGGGCTAACAACACTGTCCCACATGCAAATTCTCATCTTGGTAATAAGTCCCAGGATCCGGGTCTCAAGGCGTCAAATACACTAAGTAAGAGAGTCCACGGTGATTTGCAAGACAGAGGAAATAAAGTTTCAGATCATGCCCTTTTGGAGGAGCCAATGGGTCAACGTAGTCAAATGGCTGGAAATATTTTTTATTCTTCCAGTTCTGGTATCGATGGGCAGAATAATTCGTGTTCTGTTCAAAGGAATGAGGGCATTGAAGATAGACTTGGTATCTGGAAGGCTGCTTCTAATAAAAATTTAGCTGCTATGAAAGAACAGAAGAATCATTTCACTCAAAATTTACAAATGCAAAGGGGAAGCTATGACTTTGGCATTGCCAGTGCAGGAAATGATTCTAGGGATGTCCAGGGAAATATCCAACAGCATTTGGATAATAATAACTCTATGGTGAAGGTTATCCCTCAACTGATATCTAGAGATGGCAGTCAGATTCTTGAGTCATATAACAATACTGGATCAAATGAAATGGTAAATGCCCGTGATTTGTCTATGTTTCCGGGTGGGAAAGAAACACAACTTGGTGATGTTGGTACTAGGCCATCGATACCTAGCACATTCCAGTATCATCCCATGGGTAATATTGATGTCACTCAGGAGCCTTGTCGAGAAAAAGTTTCACATTTTCGTCAGTCAAAGTCTCATGGCCAGCCTGCTATGAACATGAGAATGGACAAGGTAAATTCTGTTTCCTTTGGTTTTCGATTATGCGGTGGTTTAGAAATCTGAATCCCTCTGAACGTTCTTTTGGCTTAATTATTGGTAGGGACATAATTCACAAAACGACTTGAATTGTACAAATGAGGGTTTTAGAGGTATGGGTTCAGAAAATTCACCTAGTACATCTGCTTCAGCCGACAGAAGTGTGGATAGGACTAATCAAGTGAAGAATGCTTCGTCAAGGTACTCATTCTTTGGGTTAAAAAGGTTTTGTTAATTATGTTTGCTTTCCAATCGCGTTTGTGAACTCAATGCTCATAAATTTTCATCGAGATGTAATTTCTGACTGTGGTCATCAACTAGCTCTCATTCCCCAATTGGTTGCAGGCAGACTATGCTTGAGCTTCTTCACAAGGTGGACCAGTCGCAGGAGCATTCCTTGGAAACAAATGTTTCCGTGATTCCTGAAGCAAAGACTTCTGCAGAATATGGTGGTCAATATCGGCATAGTCAGCCGTCTGCATCTCAGGGGTTTAGTCTACAGCTGGCGCCTCCATCTCAACCAGCTCCTGCGTCTGATAACGTTCAGTTTTCTCGGAATTCTTTGCAGCCATTGAATTCACTTCATACTGCCCCTGAAAAAGGAGGAACAAGTCAATCAAGGTTTGCTCCGTGGGCATCTAATCAATCTTTCCCTCAGCAATCACCTTATCAAGGACCATTTGCGAGTATCCCAGGAGAAACCAACATTAGCTCTGGTTTCCCTTATTCCAGAGGGCATCACCAAAATCAACTGATGTCTGTTGCTAATCGACAATCAGCTGCTAACAATTTAGTCAATTCATCTTCTGAGTTGTCTACCTCTCAAGTGAAAGAAAGAGATAAGTGTAGCGACTTTGATCAACGTGGACATTCACCGCAAACGCCTTCCCTGCAAAATCCTTCAACCCACAACAACAAAGGAGATTCAGCAGAAGGATTTCCTATGCTGTCTGCTTCTCAGGCTCTAGTTACATCCAGCGCGTCTCAGCAAAGTTCCTCTTCTGGTATGATGTCTGACTCACGAGCCGGTATTCTAGCACCACATCATCGGTTTTGGAACCAGCCATCTAATCCTCATCCAGACTTTTTACGGTCACATCCAATGCCCAGCAACATGGAAGGGAGCTTCTCAGGGCAGGAGAAGACAACCCAAAATGGAGGAGACGTGTCAGTAAGTGGGAGGGACATGTTGAATATGCATGAGTTGCAGAGTAAAGATATGGGTGCAAAACAAACATCTGATGCTGCTTCGATGTTCCCCAAAATGGTGCCGAGCAACCTTCAAACCTTTGATCGTTCTCTTCTTTCAAACAACCTTCAAAAGGATAACATTCGTCACGATGTGCAATGGCCTGGAAGTGGTGAGGATGCTTTACCCAAGATGGATGTGAAGAGATTTGAGGATAGCGGTGTTGATCCTCAGAAGGTAGCCCCAAAATGGGAACAACAGTCACCTTCAAGATCTGATGGTTTAGTTAGAGATCAGCGAATGTATCAAAAGGAATCAGTGATTGGCCAAACTGTTTCTCAGAGTTTCTCCAATAAGAATCATGCAGCCCCAGCTGAAGCAGATCGCCAGCAAATCAGTCCTCAGATGGCTCCATCCTGGTACAGTCAATATGGGACTTTCAAGAATGGACTGGTGCCACCTGGGAATGATTCAGGGAGATTCACCCCCATGAAGATAAGAGAACAATCTTCTACTGTTGGGAACTCGGTCYAAGGTTCACAYTCTGATCAATTATCAGAGCAGCTAAATACTGCCGATCCTGGTTACATTGTGCATATGCAGCAAAAGTCAGGGTCCGCACCAGGAGCGGAGACTCCCTCTACTGAATTATTGCCTCATGGTGCTACAGCTACTGACCAACTTCTGAAGGTTGATAAACCAAAGAAGCGCAAAACCGCCACACCAGGACTTCTATCTTGGAATAAAGAAGTCATGCAAGGTTCACAGCGGCTTAAGACTCTCGGGTGTGTGGCTGGCTTATGAGCACAAATATTCATTATATTTTCATATCCATTACCGTATTAAACTTTCTATGTTCTTTACAGTGAGGCCGAGGTTGATTGGGTCAGAGCGACTAATCGATTTGCTGAAAAAGTGAGTTTCATTATTACATGTTTTCTTAGGACGTGATGAATTCTTTTGCTTCTCGCTGGTCTCTTTGTACAATGTTGTTGAATAAGTTGATGGCTTTTGTTCTCACAGGTGGAATTTGAGACTTTACTTGAGGATGTCCCACCAATCAGATCAAAGAGAAGGCTTATATATACAACACAACTCATGCAACAACTGTTTCGACCTCTTCCTGCTAGGGTGATATCTTTGGTTGCTAGTTCAAATTATGAGTTTGTTGCATATACTGCAGCAAGAGCTGCGCTAGGAGATGCATGCAGCTCCACTTCTACTGACAGAATCGAGAGCTTTTCGCCCCCGAACAATTCAATCCCGTAAGAATATTTTTTCCGTTCATCCCTGAAATGCTGGAGATTATGTAAAAGTTTGGGGTTGTGTACTGACATGGAGACTCGTGTAGGTTGTCTGAGAGAACAAAAACCGAAAAAATCAGTGACCAGTACATCTCTAAAGCTGCTGAAGATTTCATTAGTAGAACACGGAAACTAGAGACCGATTTTGCAGGGTAAAATCCATAGCTCTTTCTTGTAATTGATTCCGGTTTTAAATGGCTGGCTTGATCTCATGAACATCTGGCTCTTCTTGCAGACTAGAAAATGGAAGTACAGTTGCAGACTTGAGAGTGGAAGTCCAGGATCTAGAGAAGTTTGCAGTGATCAATCGTTTTGCGAGATTCCATCCATCATCCTCACCTGTGGACCGGACCGCGAGTTCAGTTAGGTTAAACCCACAAAGATATGTTACCATAGCCCCAATGCCTCAGAATATTCCAGACAGGGTACAATGTCTCGCTCTCTAACTATTGATGAATCCATATAATCCAGTTTTTGGCCAATCTTCCCCATTCATTAATTTCATATCACTTGCACCAAATATTTTCTATTTTTGGGTGGGTATGAGTTAGTTGGTCGGAATCCTGAGAACGGTGAAGGCCTCCATTGTTAAGAGGCCGGAGATTTCCTTCTAGATATGTAGCATTTACTGTATGCATCATCACGAATATTGTAAGTCAAAATCCATTTGTATACTTAGTAAAGAAAATTTGCTCATAACAGAAAACTCACTCAAGGTTACTACACCTATGGGCTATTGCTTCCCAATAAAACAAATCATAGCAATAAGTGACAATTTTTATATTTTCGCACAATAGAGCTTTAAAGTCGTTGAAAGTTGAAACTTTAACCAGAATCTAAAATTAGGAACAGCTTTTAGCTTTGTGCTTCATAGTGTTTGAAGGAGAAAGCTTTGTGCTTCATATATTTTACTTATGAGTATCAATGTTTAGACCTGGAGGCCAAGTTTTGAGAAAAAAATAAACTACATTTAGTCTCTTCTTGTTTTAGTAACTAGGATTTTTGTACCTGTTGCATGTTTGGATTCCAATTGAGATCTTCTATACAGAAAGAATGTGTACTAGACTACTAGTGATCAAATAATGAAATCATGTTTACCTTTACAATTAAAGAATAAGAGAGCTACTATTTTCTCTTGATTTAATAATCCTAGTCCGGTTTTTCGAATTCTTAACCGGGTCAGAATCAGGGAGATCGAACAGAAAAGCCAGATCATGAGCCCTCTACTTTGTTACTCAAAGATTAGAGAGTCAACACAAAAGTTTCACCCTAAAAAGAAATTTCTAGCTTCAAATATAAAATAGAATTCTCACAATGTTGTAATCTCTTTATAAAATTTATAACTTGAAGATGCCAAAACAAGAGCCAAACAAGGTTGATAAAAGATGTGAATACCGCGCTAAAGCAGGATTATTTCTTTGTTGCGGGTCTGTTAGGACCTAAGTAGTTTGTGACCAATCCCATTATAGCAAACCTGATTTAACACCAAAAAAAAAAACTTGAGTCAATATCAACAATCCACACCATAACTCATCATAATATAAGTAAACAATCTCTGGGATTATTCATCATTTGCGTGTCCAAAGAGCTAAACTGAAGAAGCATTTCATCTCTCAACTCAAATCTATTTCCATGGTTCGATTAAAGATTTGCTGTACGAACTCCGGGATGTATATTTCAAAGCTTTTGACTCTCTCTAACTAATGAAAACACAAGAATTAGAATGAGTGAAATGGAACATACATCATAGCCATGGAGATCTGCTTCAAATCATTCTCCAAGTTCCTCATGTTGGCCAAAGACTGTGCACAGAATATAATTGCAAGCCACGAACAGATCTTGTACTGAAAGACACAAAAACAATAATGAGCGCGTATTCAACGAAACAAAAATTCACAGTTCTTTCTCACTGTCATTCATCAGACTCAAAGAAACAATACATTTTCAGTGTGAACATCTCAATGAGGCATCTCGAGCTCAAATCTCAAGAAGATCTTGCTATGATACAATCACAGTTTTTGTAAAGTGAAACCAGACTTTGAGAAGTTGGAATCTGCTCAATTTAATTCAACCAAATCAACATTCCAAAAAAGTTTCTAGTGATGTCAAAATTCAGAAAACTGAAACGAAAGAGCTTCAGTTGATGAATCGGAAGAAGACTACAAAAATCCGACGACCTAACTCCCCAAAATACAATCGGAGTAAGAGCAACGATCAGAGATGGAAATTTACCCTGAACATAACGCCGGTTACGCCGAGGATAACGGCGATGAATCCAGAGTAGTCAACGGGAAGATCCTCCGGCGCAACTGGTCGCGGAGTGTAAGGTTTCGCCATCGAAGGTTGACGTGGATCGTTCGCCGACGAAGCGTTTCCATGACTGTGAGACAT